TTGAGCCAAGTTTGAGTTGATGTTGCTGTAGCTGCCACCTGGTAGAGGAGGGACAGGGAAGCCACGCTCTCCTATGCATACCTAGGACAATACCTGATTCCCTGGTATAGGCTGCTGTGAGACCAAGACTTAAGTGGACTGTACTCCTCACATCTTCTTGCTCATGGCCCCTATGAGGCCAGTACAGCTGATACCAAAATCAGACAAGGACACAATGAAAAAAGAAAAGACCAATATCCCTGATGAACATACAGACAAGAATCCTCAACAAAATACTAGCAAACTGTATCCAACAGCACATCAAAAAGACACTAGAACATGACCAAGTGGGATTTATCCCAGAGTTGAAAGGATGATTCAACATATGCAAATCAATAAATGTGATACATCATATAAACAGAATTAAGGACAAAAAACAAATGATCATCTCAATAGATGCACAAAAGGCACTGGATAAAATTCAACATTACTTCATGATAAAGGTCCTCAACACACTAGGCATAAAAGAAACATACCTCAACATAATAAAGGCCATATACAACAAACCCATAGCTAGCATTATACTTAACAGGGAAAAACTGAAAGCATTCCCTAAAGCTAGAGCAAGACAAGGATGCCCACTTGCACCACTCTTATTCAACAAGTCCTTGTCAGAGCAATCAGGCAAGAGAAAATAACAAAAGGCATCCAAACTGGAAAAGAGGAAGTCAAATTGCCCTGTTTGTGATGGTATGATCTTATAGCTGGAAAACCTGAAAGACTCTACCAAAAAACTTATATTTGATAAATAAATTTAGTAGTTTCAGGATACAAAATGAAGATCCAAAAGTCAGTAGGGTTTCAATACACCAATAATGATCTAGCCAAGGACCAAATCAAGAAGGCAACTCAATTTATAATACCTATAAGAAAGTAAACTATCCAGGATTACATTTAAGCATGGAGGTGAAAGATCTCTATAAGGAGAACTACAAAACACTGACTAAAGAATTCATAGATGATACAAACAAATGGAAAAACGTCCCATGCTCATTGAAAAAATCCATATTGTTAAAATGACTGTACAGATCAAGCAGTCTACAGATTCCACACAATCCCTATCAAATTACCAATGCCATTTTTCACAGAATTAGAAAAAAAAATCCTAAAATTCATATGGAACCAAAAAAGAGCCCAAATAGCTAAAATAATCATAAGTAAAAAGAACAAAGCTGGAGGAATCACATTACCTCACTTCAAATTATACAAGATTATAGTAATCAAAACAGCATGGTACTGGTATAAAAATAGACACACAGACCGATGGAACAGAATAGAAAACCAAGAAATAAAGCCATATACCTACAATCAACTGATCTTTGACAAAGTCAACAAAAATCTACACTGGGGAAAGGATTCTATTAAATTAGTGGTGCTGGGAAAACTGGTTAGCCATATGCAGAAAAATGAAACTGGACCCATACCTCTCACCATATACAAAAATTAACTCAAGATGGATTAAAGACTTAAACCCAAGACCTGAAACTATAACAATCCTAGAAAAAAACCTAGGAAAAAGTCTTCTGGACATTGTCCAGGCAAAGAATTTAAGACCAAGTCTTTAAAAGCAAAAGCAACCAAAACAAAAATAGACAAATGATTCAATTAAACTAAAAAGCTTCTGCATAGCAGAAGAAATAACAAAATAAGCAGACAACCTACAGAATGGCAAAAAATATTTGCAAACTATGCATCTGACAAATGACTAATATCCAGAATCTACAAAGATTTCAACTCAATAAGAAAACAATAACCCTATTTAAAAGGGGAAAAAGAACATGAACAGGCCGGGCGCGGTGGCTCAAGCCTGTAATCCCAGCACTTTGGGAGGCCGAGACGGGCAGATCACGAGGTCAGGAGATCAAGACCATCCGGGCTAACACGGTGAAACCCCGTCTCTACTAAAAATACAAAAAATTAGCCGGGCGTGGTGGCGGGCGCCTGTAGTCCCAGCTACTCGGGAGGCTGAGGCAGGAGAATGGCGTAAACCCGGGAGGCGGAGCTTGCAGTGAGCTGAGATCCGGCCACTGCACTCCAGCCTGGGTGACAGAGCAAGACTCCGTCTCAAAAAAAAAAAAAAAAAAAAAAAAAAAAATGAACAGGCTGGGCATGGTGGCTCACGCCTGTAATCCCAGCACTTTGGGAGGCCAAGATGGGCAGATGACTTGAGCCCAGGAGTTTGAGACCAGCCTGGGCAACATGGTTAAACCCTGTCTCTACAAAAAAAATACAAAAGATTAGCCAGTTGTGGTGGTGCATACCTGTGGTCCCAGCTACTCAGGAGGCTGAGGTAGGAGGATCACTTGAGCCCAGAAGGTCAAGGCTGCAGTGAGCTGTGATTGTGCCACTGCACTCCAGCCTGGGTGACAGAGAGGTGGAGGGGGGAGGGGGACAGAAACAGAGAGAGAGAGAAACAAGACGTGAACAGACATTTTCAAAAGAAGACATACAAGTATCCAACGACCATATGAAGAATGACAGATGTTGGCAAGGACGTGGAGAAAAGGGAACACTTATACACTGTGGGAAAGTAAATTAGTACAGCCTTTATGGAAAAAAGCATGGAGATTTCTCAAAGAACTAAAAATAGAACTACCATTTGATCCAGCAATCCCACTCTTGAGTATATACACAAAGAGAAAGAAATTATCAAAAAATATTTACAGCCAGGTGCAGTAGCTCATGCCTGTAATCCCAGCACTTTGGGAGGCTGAAGCAGGAGGATCACTTGAGGTCAGGAGTTCAAGACCAACCTGGCCAACAAGGCAAAACCCCATCTCTAATAAAAGTACAAAAAATTAGTTGGGTGTGGTGGTGTGCACCTGTAATCCCAGCTACTTGGGAGGCTGAGGCAGGAGAATCGCTTGAACCCAGGAGGCAGAGGTTGCAGTGGGCCAAGATCATGCCACAGAGCTCCAGCCTGGGTGACAAGTGAAACTCCGTCTCAAAAAATACATATTTATTCACACTCATATGTTTATTGCTCCATTATTGACAGTAGCAAAGATATGGAATCAGCATAAGTGTCCATCAACAGAGGACTGAATAAATAAAATGGACTACTACTTGACCATACAAAATAATGAAATCATGTCTTTTGCAGCAACATAGATGGAACTGGAGGCCATTATCCTAGCAAACTCACTCAGAAACAGAAAGTCAAATACCACATGTTCTCACTTATAAGTGAGAGCTAAATGGGTACACATGGACGTACAGAGTGGAATAAGAAACCCTGGAGACTCCGAAAGGTGGGAAGGTGGGAGGGAGGCAACGGTTGAAAAAGTACCTGTTGAGTACAATATTCACGATTTGAGAGTGATGGGTACACTAAAAACCCAGATTTCATCACTAAGAAATACATGCACATAAGAAACCTGCACTTGGACCCTTCAAATACATAAAAATAAAATGAAAAGAAAAAAATAGTGTAGTTTATTATATATCTATTATGCTTTAATAAAGTAGTTTAAAAAACATGCTACTTGCACATGATTTTTCTTCGTAAATCATTATATTCAAAGAGAAACTGCAAGCTCTGTCTAATCATCATAGACTAGGCCTTTTTATTTATCTACTTATTCTCAAATATTTGCTGAATACCTGTTAGTTTCTGTGGGAAATACAAACATAAGTCAGACCTACTGTGATCTGAAATCAGGGGCAGAGACTAAATATATGGTCATATCATACCATATCATGAGATGATGATAAACATACATTTGGTCTCTGCCCTTTTGTTTTATTTGAAATGGAGTCTCACTCTGTCAACCCAGGGTGGAGTGCAGTGGCGCAATCTCGGCTCATGGCTAGCTCCGCCTCCAAGGTGCACGCCATTCTCCTGCTTCAGCTTCCCAAGTAGCTGGGACTACAGGCACCCGCCACCATGCCAGGCTAATTTTTTTTGTATTTTTAGTAGAGATGGGTTTTCACCGTGTTAGTCAGGATGGTCTTGATCTCCTGACCTCATGATCCACTCGTCTCAGCCTCCCAAAGTGCTGGGATTACAGGCGTGAGCCACCACACCAGCCCTAAAACTCTTATAATACCCAAAGTGGTAAGTGTTTTTTTGTATGCTAATCATATGACTGGTGGTTAGGGACTCCTGGATAGTCTGAGGATTGGGTAGGGAGATAGTGGTTGGCAGGGGAACCAACCATGTGATTAGAAGGTTGGAACATTTTCACTTTTTCAGCCCCAACCCTTGTCCTCTAGGGAGAAGACAGGGGCTGAAGGTCGAGTTAATCAGCGATAGCCAACAATTTAATCATGCCTACAAAATGAAACCTCCGTAAAAACCCTAAAGGACTAGGTTCAGAGAGCCCTAAATAGCGGTAGGTCAGAAATTCAGGTCACAACTTGGAGCCTGCAACTGGCATCTGAAGTTGGGGGTAGTCTTGTGGGACTGGGCCCTTAATTTGTGGGATCTGACAGTATCTCCTGGTAGATTGTGTCAGAACTGAATTGAATTACAGGACACTCCATTGGTGTCTGCTGGAGAATGTGGTGTCAGAATTGCTTGGGTTGTGGGGGAAAAACCCCACCCACTGGTGTCAGACATGTTGTGGTATGTGAGAGGACAGAGTCTCTCATCTTATGCCCAGGCTAGAGTGCAGTGGTACAATCATAGCTCACTGCAGCCTTGACATCCTGGGCTCAGGTGATGCTCCCACCTCAGCCTCTTGCATAGCTGGAACTACAGGTATATGCCACCATGCCTGGCTAATTTTTAATTTTTTTAGAGAGATGGGATCTCACTGTGTTGCCCAGGCTGGTCTCAAACTCCTGGGCTCAAGTGATCATTCCCCTTGGCCTCCCAAAGTGTTGGGATTATAGGCATGAGCCACTGTGCCTGGCCCATACCCACCTTTTGCACTATGAAGCATATCATCTAATAGACTGGTTAGGGTTTAGAAATCATAAACAATTGATCTTTACATTGTTTTCACAAAGATCCTTACCAGAGGCAAATCCTTCCCAGTGACTACGTGTCAACTCCTCCATACAGCTCACAACCTTGCTCCATACATTGTCAAACACATAAGCAAGGACATCTTCTTTCATGCAGTAAAATGGAGCAATGGGAGGATACCCTAATTTCGGTTTCTCTGTAGCTGCTTCTGATTTCTTCCCATGAAATCCTTCTTTCCTGTAACAGAAGCAAGAGGGAAAAACTTCATGATGATTCTTCACTGAGTGTTCACCACTGTCCTTTGTGCTTCTTAGGAATGACTGGTGCTCCCACCCTGCCTGCCCTGCTGCCTGCCCAGCATGTGGAGCACATGTATGAAGCTGTCTTGGGAACTAAGGCAGTTCTCAACATAAGAGATTGCATTTCCCTTTTTATCCCCACTCTATCCCACTATTCTGCCAAAAACTAGAACAAGAAAAAGAAGGCTGAGAATCATTATTGTATTGGGAGAACCCGCTCCCGATAGTTACGTGGGTTCTATTTCCTAGGTGTCTCAGCTGGTTTGAGAAATAGAGGGAAAGAGCACAAGAGAGAGAAATTTAAAGCTGGGTGTCCCGGGGAGACATGACATGTCTGCAGGATCCGTGATGCTCTCCGAACCGTAAAACCAGCAAGTTTTTATTAGCAGTTTTCAAAAGGGGAGGGAGTGCAGGAATAGGGTGTGAGTCACAGAGATCACATACTTCACAAGGTAATAAAATACCACAAAGCAAGTGGAGGCGGGGCGAGATCACAGGACCACAGTATGGGGCGAAATTAAAATTGCTAATGAAGCTTCGGGCACGCATTGTCATTGATAACATCTCATCAGGAAACAGGGTTTGAGAGCAGACAACCTGTCTGACCAAAATTTATTAGGCGGGAATTTTTCTCGTCCTAATAAGCCTGGGAGCGCTACAGGAGACCAGGGCTTATTTCATCCCTTCGGCTTGGACCATAAAAGACAGCACGCCTTAAGGCGTCTCTTCTAAGCCAGCTTCAGAATTTGTTTTGTCTTAGTTTATATAATACATCTATCTTAGGTGAGCACAACTACCAGCCAGATTTTTTCCCCCAGAACTCCAGGGCTATTGGTATTCCTGTCTGGAGAAGCAGAGTTAACTTGGCTAACTGAGACTTTCTGGGCTACAGACACAAGTGTCTCTAGAAGAGCCTATAAACCTACCCTCAGGGCGCATTCTCTTTCTCAGGGATGTTCCTTGCTGAGAAAAAGAATTCAGCGATATTTCTCCCATTTGCTTTTGAAAGAGGAGAAATATGGCTCTGTTGCGTCCGGTGGCCAGAAGTCTTATGTCTGGTGTTCCCTGAACATTGCTGTTATCCTGTTTTTTTTTTCAAGATGCCCAGATTTCATACTGTTCAAACACACATGCTCTATAAACAATCTGTGCAGCTGACACTGCACAAATCATCACAGGGTCCTGAGGCGACATTCATCGTCCTCAGCTTACGAAGAAGATGACGGGATTAAGAGATTGAAGTAAAGACAGGCATAGGAAATCACAAGGGTATTGATTGGGGAAGTGATAAGTGTCCATGAAATCTTCACAATTTATATTCAGAGACTGCAGTAAAGACAGGCATAAGAAATTATAAAAGTATTAATTTGGGGAACTAATAAATGTCCATGAAATCTTCACAATTTATGTTCTTCTGCCGCAGCTTCAACCGGTCCCTCTGGGGTCCCTGACTTCCCGCAACATTATTGTATACACTGATTTCCCATATGTGTTTTGGTTTATTTTTCAACCTCAATCTTTTCAATTAGGAACATTCTAAAGGTCCAACTACTGATTTTGTGTTTTTTAGCTTTAAATGAATGAGCATTGTTAATTGCGCAGTTATGATGATTAAGCACCCGGAAATAATTTTTGTTGTAACAGGAGAAAACTTAGATTAATTTTTGTTTGTTTGTTTGTTTTTGAGATGGAGTCTCACTCTGTCGCCCAGGCTGGAGTGCAGTGGCGCGATCTTGGCTCACTGTGACCTTCATCTTCTGGGTTCAAGTAATTCTCCTGCCTCAGCCTCCCAAGTAGCTGGGATTACAGGAGCCTGCCACCATGCCCAGCTAATTTTTGTACTTTTAGTAGAGATGGGGTTTCACCATGTTGGCTAGACTGGTCTCAAACTCCTGACCTCAATCCACCTGCCTCGGCCTCCCAAAGTGCTGGGATTACAGGCATGAGCCACTGCACCTGGCCCTTAGATTAATATTAATGTGATATTTAATGATGTGCATGGCAGTGTCATGATGCTGTGTAATTAATATATTTGAGGTGATGATTCATTAGAGAAACATTCCACCTAAATGATTAAAATTAGTATACTTTTACTAAGCCAAATAAACATTTGGTAATTGGTTAGAAAGGAAAAGGAGGGGAGCAAAACAGCACAGGAGCTTCTCTTGAGGCTCTTCTGGGGACAGTTGTGTCTGTAGCCCAGAAAGTCTCAGTTAGCCAAGTTATCTTTGCTTCTCCAGACAGGAATACCAATAGCCCTGGAGTTCTGGGGGAAAAAATCTAGCTGGTAGTTGTGCTCACCTAAGTTAGATGTATTATATAAACTAAGACAAAACACATTCTGAAGCTGGCTTAGAAGAGGAATAAATAACTCCAGGTCTCTACAGTGAAAGTTACCCCTAGGGAAACAGAGATCTCAAGTATTAGGAAAATGTAGGCAGGAAAGAAGGGTGCAACAAGGCTTATGCAGCGTAGCTACAGACTCTCATCTCTGCCTTCCCTAAGAAGAGTTGGCCTGGCATTAGGTGGGGGAGTATGGTGAGCAGTATTAATTGTGTTTAAATTTATATTTCTTTTTAGAGGAGATAACATCCATGTGATGAGAAAAATTCAAATTGTACAGAAGGATATATAGTGAAAAAGATGTCTCCTACATTTCTGTCCCCCAGTCCCCATCCCCAGAAGCAAATATTATACATTGTTCCAGAGAAAGTTACATTATACACTCTACTGCCCCTTGTTCTCTATTTAACAATGTGTCTTGGTCCTTGATCCCTATCAATACATACTAATCCAGGCTGGGCTCGGTGGTTCACGCCTGTAATCCTAGCACTTTGGGAGGCCAAGACAGGTGGGTCACTTGAAGTCAGGAGTTGAGACAAGGCTGGCCAACATGGCAAAACTCCGTCTCTACTAAAAATACAAAAATTAACCGGGCGAGGTGGCGGGCGCCTGTAATCCCAGCTACTCAGGAGGCTGGGGCAGGAGAATTGCTTGAACCAAGGAGGTGGAGTTTACAGTGAGTGAGATCGCGCCACTACACTCCAGCCTGGGTGACAGAGTGAGATTCTGTCTCAAAAACACAAAACAAAACAAAACATACTAATCTGCCTCTTAAAAAACAGCTGCGGAATATTCCATTGTATGTACTGTATCTTAACTTGCCTCTTATTGATCAACCAACCAATCTTTTGCTCTTATAGTCAATGCTGTAATTAATATCCTTATGCACAGTTCTTTGGCTTCACAAGTGATTATGTCTGTAGGATAAATTCCTATAAATAAACTTATTGGGTTAAAGGGTATGTGCATTTCAATTTAAAAGATACTGCCAAATTTCCTCTAAAGAGGTCAGATGGCCCAATGGTGAAAGAATATGCCTGTTTACCTACTCAAGGAATGATGAAACTTCTTTATCTTTTGTTCTCTGCCAATCTAAAAGATAAAAGTACCTAATTATGGTTTTAATTTATATCTCTAATTTCAAAGTTGAATTTCATTTATGTTTAAAATCCATTTTATTTTTATATTGATATTATTTGCTTGTTTTGTCCTTAGTCTTTTCCTTATTGACGTACATATTAAAGAAATTAACTCTTTATCCGTGAATGAACAACAAACATTTTTGCCTAGTGTGTCATTTGTTTTTTGACTTTGAGTTTATTTTTTCAATTCCTACTGCAGAAATTAGTTTTTTTCTATTTTTTTAAATTTGTTTTTCACAGCAGCATTGTATCATAGAAATGAGGTTTTTGTCTAGGCAGAAATTTCATATTGTGTAGTTATTTAAGAATTTCTTATGTGACTTGTAGGTTTTGTGTTAAGGTTAAAAAGGCCTTCATTCCCAAATTATATTTTTTAAAAACAGTCTTCCATGTTATATTTTCTTCTAAATGTATATGATTTCATTTGCCACATTTAATTTTTTTAATGTGTGAAGTTTATTTTTATGGAAAGAATAAATTAGGAACCTTATATTTTTTTCCAGATGGTTTTTCCATTTGTACTAAAATCATTTGCTGAAATTACTGTATACTCTAATTTCCCATAAGTGTTTTGGTTTATTTTTCAACCCTCAATCTTTTCAATTAGGAACATTCTAAACGTTCAACTACTCTGTCACTTTATAAAACATCTTAGAGGTATTTCTAAAGGGAAGGCTGCCTTTCTAAAATCATCCGTGTATTACCTGAAAATTCATTTTGATTTGAGGAAAAATGGAAAATAGAAGTAATGTGAAACAGGCCAACTAGAAGTAATAAATAGAAAATAGAAGTAATTTGATACAGGAGAAGTGAAAGGGAAGGGGGCAGTCTTTGGAAAAGACCAAAAGAACCTGCTTCCAATTCTAGCTCAGTGGTATTACGTATAGAAGCCTGGCTTATATTTAGCTGGCCCTAGGGCTGTGTGCACATGAGTGATACGTGAATGAACATGGCTCAGCAGGAAATACAATGGGAAAAAATACAATGGGAAAAAAAAATGCATCCAGAATCATGTGACGCAATACTAACTACTAGACCTAACCACAGCCGCACATCCTAAAGAGAAATTCTCACTTATTTTCAAATATGCTGCTGTGACTATCAAATCTGGGACTTTTAAAGGCTTACAGGAATAGTTTAACAGGTTAATGTTTCAGAAAGGTAGCAAGGAATAGTGAAGCGAAGACTGGATTGAGAATCAGATGAATAAGATCTTGGTTTTAGCTTTACTTTAGACAGATCATTAACTACTCTGATTCTCACCTATCCTGTAAAGAAGATAAATCATATCTATGTGATAGGACAACTATTAGAATATAGTAAGAATAGATATAAATAGACATTAATTATAAAATCTGTGCCAACCATAAGATTTTAAACAAACTGTAACTTTTTCTTTTCTTTTTTGTTTTTTGGAGATGGAGTCTTGCTCTGTTGCGTAGGCTGGAGTGCAGTGGCGTGATCTCAGCTCACTGCAACCTCTGCCTCCCAGGTTCAAGCGATTCTCTGGCCTCAGCCTCCCAAGTAGCTGACATTAGAGGCATGAACCACCACACCCAGCTAATTTTTGTATTTTTAGTAGAGATGGGGTTTCACCAGGTTGGTCGGGCTGGTCTCGAACTCCTGACCTGAAGTGATCCGCCCACCTCGGCCTCCCAATGTGCTGGAATTACAGGTGTGAGCCACCGCGCCTGGCCTGTATATACCTTTTTCAAACAGGATTTATGTAAACAAAGTTCATATCTCTTCAACTGCTTTTTTAAAAGGTTTTAAAAGTTCCCACTGGTGGTAATTTGCAAAAGGGTAAAATCAAACTATGTGGGGAAAAAATAAACTTATTTTAAAATCTCTAATCTCAGGAACAGGTAAATGATGTGTGAAGGTATAAAATACACAAGGAAGTCTAGTATATGGAAGCAATAAGAATATAAATTCTGGATACCTGAGAAAATAAATAACAGAAACTGGCATATATTTAATTGTATACATTGGTAGCATCATTTAGAAAAAATAGGTATTAATACACAAAATAAGAGGGGAGTAAAAAGCTTAAAAGACACAATACTCACATATCTGTGTGATCGAATGCTAGGTATTCCTCAATTATTCCTTCCGAGAAGATTATAGAGTCTTCCTCGTCTCTTTCCATAGAACAAAAGCTGGAGGATTTGGCAATGGAAGATGCTTTATGAGCATAAGAAGATGAAAAATGTAACTTCTTTCCCCTTATACTAAATCTTGGAGAGGAAAGAAGTAGTAAATATTAATTATCTAAACATGAACAGTTCTTATGGCAACACAGTTACATGAGTTTTGGCTCAAACACCCCTTGCCCTGGCAATACCTATTCTAAGCCTCAATAACCTACCATTTCTCAGAACAGGAAGATTAAATTCTGGTCATAGAACTATTCTGCCTACATGTACTATGGACTATCTGATGCTGCTTGCTGTCTTTTTAGATGCAAACAGCTATAGCTGTGTATTAGGTCATCCTTGCCTTGCTATAAAGAAATATCTGAGACTGGGTAATTTATAAGAAAAGAGATGTCATTGGCTCACAGTTCTGGAGGCTGTATAGGAAGCATAGTGCTGGCATCTGCTTCTGCAGAGGACTTACAAAGCTTTTACTCATGGTGGAATGTTAAGTGGGAGCAGGAGCAAGAGAGAATGTGTGTGGGAGGGGAGGTGTCACACACTTTTAAATGACCAGATGTCATGGGAACTCACTATCGCAAAGACAGTACAAAGCCATGAGGGATCCTCCCCCATGACCCAAACACCTCCCACCAGGCCCCACCTCTCCATGGGGGATTACAATTCAATATGAGATGCGGGCATTCTGCCCTTGGTTCCTCCCAAATCTCATATCCTTCTAACATTGCAGAATACAATCATGCCTTCCGAAAAGTCTCAAAAGTCTTGACTCATTCCAGTGTTAATTCAAAAGTCCAAAGTCTCAAGTCTCATCTGAGACAAGGCACATCCCTGCCACCTATGAGCCTGTAAATCAAAAACAAGTTATTTACTTCCAAGATACAATGGGAGTATAGGCGTTAAACATTTTTGTTCCAAAAGAAAGGGGCTACAGGTCCCATGCAAGTTCAAAACCCAGTAGGGGAGTCATTAACTCTTAGAGCCCCTTGATGTCCCACAAGGAGGTACAAGGGGTAGGCTTCCAAGGCCTTAGGGAGCTCTACCCCATGGCTTTGCAGGGTTCAGCCACCAAGGTTGCTCTCACGGGGTGGAGTTGAATGCCTGCAGCTTC